AGATAAGCATGTAAGATTTGTGGTAGAGACTGTGAGTCTTATCAGAGAGCAGGGTTTAGGATGCCAGCTAGAGAGAAGCAGCGTAATTTATAGGTGTGTGTTTAAGTGTGTGAAGGGAGAGTCCTGGTCTGCAAAGTGTGCACATTAGTGGCAGTAATGGCTTCCTTTAATGATCTGTTCTTTTGAGGAGTCAAAGTCCTGGAAGGTAGAGCAGAGTTTCTTTGTTTTTGTCTTTGTTTTGCAACCCACAGCCCAGACAAATGGGAAGGTCACTGAAAGGCCTGGTCATTATCAGAGCAAGGTTTGAGAGTCGCTTTAGTGTTCAGAAGAATGTGCCTTTTGATACATTAGAGTCTCAGAAGGTACAGTTGTAAATCTCACTGTCGTCTTGCTATCTGGTTCTTCCCGAGAACATTCTCTTCCACTCTGTGAAGTCTCAGAAAGTGACGTTTTGAGGTTACCTCTGAAAGTTGCGTCCTTGAATCCTAATCCTAGCTTGCTGCATCCGCAGGCAGAACTGTTACATATGTGCATGATAAGAAAACCCCTGTGACCTCTCACCAAATCAACCTGTATTTACCCACAGTGCAGGTGATTTGGTAGCATAAAAATGAAATTACCGGCACAATAGTTGGATTCAGAATACTGAAACCTGTCTCTTGATTTCTCTTTCTCAGCTGGCAGCTTTGCTCGGCGACGCTCCCTCATTCCTAGACGACTGTTTACGATCCTATTTCCCGCCCGAGGACATGAAGGCCATACTTGAACACCACAGAAACCTTGGTCATTTTGAAGAGAAAGGTACTTTGGGGCTCGTGGTGGTGGGAGGTATTTGTAGTCGACACTGTAAAGGGTCGATGCTGAAACATACCCAAACAAAGAGAAAGAAATATCCTTCTGCAGGATTGAGAAGGTGACATTAAAGATGCATTCCAATGCAACAGCTACTTACCTGTGAACTAGTCCAGTCCAAGCTTTAATAAAACCATCAAGGTGTAGTTGTCTTTGTAGTTTATTAAAGTGTAATAAAGGAAACTAGAGTAGAGAAATGCAGAGTGGATATTTCAGCTGAACGGGCAGAACTTATACAGCAGGATCATGTTTAGAGATCCAAGCAGCAGTTTAAACATTCTAGTCTCAGCTCCTCATCAGCAGACACTCCTCAGCTGAGGAATGTAGATCATGCAGAGTGCAGTCAACACCAGCCTTTGGCAACAGTGAGATTGTCTGAAAGTGGTGGAGGGTGACTGTGTGGCTGCATAGTTAGGAACTTATACAACACAATACTTATTTTTAACATGTTTCTAATTATAATTTGACAGTAATTTGGAGGAAGTGACTCCTTAAATAGAGCAGCAGAAGAAAAACTGGAGTGTATTTGAGGGAGAAAAGTCCATTAATACAATAATGCCCCAAATAAATTCCTAAACAATAAAAAACGATTGCTTAATGATAATTTTTGTAACTCCTGCATCTGATGGTGTATTATAATGTCTTCATTTGTCTCCAGCTATTTTGTTTGCTGCTTTGATGATTAGAGGGGTCATGTCACAGTCCTGATCTATTCTGTCTCCATGTCAGGATCATTAATGATTAGAGGCAGCCCAATTAATAAAGTTAACGCTGTTGTTCCACGTGTACACAGCAGTGCTGCCTTGGAGACACTCCTAGAGATCCTACTGTTGTCTGACATGCAGGTATTTAATAAACTCAGAGGAAAAGAAACAAACTAAGCAAACGCTCCTGTTAACGTTTTGTCAAAAGTACATTTTGATGAGTCGTATTTGCTGAGTTTTTTTTTAATGGATATTTTAGTCTGTAAAAGGTGAAATTATTGAACAAAGTGAAAGTGACAAAACTGATGAATGTCTCTGTCAAGTAAAGGCATCCAAACTGCGTGTTGTGGTTTATGAAACAACGTTAGTGCGGAAATATTTAAAAGGCTGATGTTCAGACTGAGTACAGAGAAAACCTGTTTTTAACTTTGATTTGTTTTATTAAGGCTTCGAGACTTTTCTGTATTTGCACACACACTTAACAGATTTGTGCAGATATGCTTGTGCAGTGAGACAGATACGAAAAGCATGATTGATTGATTTATAACATTTAGTCATGACTGATACGAGCATCATACCACTATCTTTGGATTCTATTAAGTCTGGTTGTCTATTTTATAATGGTTTTTCCCATCTTCTCATTTAATTCTATTTTTATTTACTTGACTGCTCATTATATGCTTCTCGCTTATTTAATATCTTTATTTATTATTGCTTTTTGCAAAAATTGTAATTTACAGAAGTACATTTAAGTTTGTGCCTCAACAAAAATAAAAAATTGTTTTTAAAATTTTAAATAATTTTTTTTTAAAAAGATCCCACAGAATTAGATTACAGAAAATATTTCTTTCTTTCTGCAGCTTTATCGGATTAGTTCACAGTTTTTTTTAAATATCTCAATTAAGTAACTAATTATTCCATGTAACTAGTTGCTTCCCATGTCGATAATCTGCCAAAGAGGAGGTTTGTTATGTTGTAATAGTTTTTACTTCCATATTTTCTATGATTCACTGAGCAAAGACAGCTCACAGACCAGTAAAGCGTTGGTTTTTAAATGTTTCACAGAGAAGTTGAAGTTGCAACCTGTCACTTTTTCTTCAAATTTAATTTCTGTTTAAACTGAGCAAAGACCTAATGAACCATCTTTACTCTCAATTGTAGATCCGAGGTTATTACCGATGGACGACTGCATCCTCTCCTCTCTGTCGCTGCCTCCTGGCTCCAAACCTGCCGTGAACGCCGCCTCCTGCTCGCCTGCTCTCAAAGAGTCGACTCCTCCGGCACACGAAGGACCTTTCAGTCCTCCCATCGACACGGGCAGCGCGGAGAGGCCGAGCAGGAAGAGCGCAGAGACCGCCAGACAGAGACTGAGGGAGTCGAGCGACCCCGGCAGCTGGCAGCGGCAGCTTCGAGGCGGAAACACTTCTCAGGAGAGGAAAGTACAAAACTCAACTCGTACACGGCCATGTGATGACACCATAGACCTCACCGCATCCAATGAGACTGCAGACACGGATTCAGAAGCCAGTGAGAGCAACCAAAGCCTGAGAGCAGCGCAGGCGAGCAGGAAGCGGAAGCTGAGCGGAGGTGTGGATGTTCCTGCAAAGCGGCCTGCGGAGGCGTCAGCTTTCTTGTAAGATCACCAAAGTGTCTTTGTTTATTTTCATTTATTACACGCAGACATGACTGTGTGGTTTGATGTTGGTTAGGAATCACCTTTATGAGCGTATTGTTGTAACAAAACTATTTGTATATGTGTATGGAGAGTTGTGTGTCTGTATCTCAATCTTTGTGTCTGTAGTGAGATTTGTAAAAGATCTGTACACGCGTACAAAGATATTAACAGATGAAAAGTCTAAGTATTTGGCTACAAGTGCTAGAAATACAGACAAATCACCAGTTACAGGTCAAGCAGGCCTCACAGTTGTCTCTTTTTACACATGACTTTTGCTTCACTTCTGTCGTGAGAGATTCGTGTCGGTAACTTCAGGGTTTCTTTGCCCTGAACTCGGGCTTACAGGCTCGTTCATTACAGCTGCATACCACTCTGTACCTCAGTAGTTATGCCACCTGCAAGCCATCAGGTGGCGCTATGCCCCAGAATCTTTGAGGACACATTGTCTGGTATATGTGAACAAGTTAAATTTGCAGAGTTTGTGGGTCGTTGAGCAAAAACTTTCATGATGGCTTGCAGGCGGCATAACTACTGAGGTACAGAGAGAATGACTGAGCCTGTGAGCCTGAGCTCCTGGCTAAAGAAACCCTCAAGTTACAGATACACATCTCTCAGAAGTGCAGCAAAAGTCATGTGTAAAAAGACAGCCAACTGTGAGGCCTGCTTGACCTGTAACTGGTGATTTGTCTGTATCTCCAGCACCACATCATGTCCATTTGTATACAAACACTACAACCCCAAATGCTTAATCTAATTTTTGCAGACCGTAAAGTGGAATACACTACATTGATCTGTTTGGAAAAATGATTTGAGACGTGTTGTCAATTTTATATTTGACTTTTACAGCGATTCCTCAGTGGATGATGAGAATTCAGGTGAATCTCCTCTAATCTCGATATGGGGAGAATATACAGGTTTGTGCAGATTTTATTCGGCTCAGTTGATATTTGGTTTCGCATTTCCCATCATAGCTTTAACTGACTGTTCATATCTACTTTCAGACTCTCAGGAAGGTTCTTTTCCAGTTGTAACGGACACAAAAGTTCCCTGGTCGGACGAGGAGACGCTTCATCTGCTGGACATCTGGGGGAAGGACTCTGTGCAGCGAGCTTTGAAGGGCTGCTTGAAGAACCGTCACATATTCACTCAGATCGCACAAAAGATGGTGGAGAGGGGCTACATGAGAACAGTGGAGCAGTGCCAGACCAGGATTAAACGGCTGAAGAAATGCTTTCGCCAGAACAGCAAGTGAGTTTTGAACGTTTTTGGAGCTATCGTGTAATATAAGCTGTCAGATAATTCTCAAACACAAGCTGTGATTTGTGAAACAAGAGAGAAAATGTAAGCAGACAAAGAGCCTATTTAGAGCTTCAAAAAGCATTCACAAAGCTGGCTAATCTCAGTTTCACCATTTTATTCTGGCCGTGTGAAAAACGTCACCAGAGCATGAAGGACAATAGAGGTCATGTCAGTGATGTAAAGAAGCCGGCAGGTGATTGGCTTAGAGTGTCACATGGTAACCGACCGCCTCAGATATCACGTTGGATCTTTTTTTTAATAATACAACAGTGACAGAAAGCAGGTGAAATGGCACAATTCTGACTGAGGTTATGCTTATTATCTTCTCATTGCTCCACCACCAAAAGGAACGCCAGGGTAGACCGGAAGTTCTACGCCCAGCTGGAGCAGGTCCTCGGCTCCTCAGCTCCGTCGGCTGTTCCCGAGGTCACCTACGATGTCGAGGAAGTCGTTGACGAAGACGGATCCCGAGACGCCGATGAGGACCTGCAGTTTATAGGTCAAACGGGCCAGCTAGAAATCGGTACAATGTCACCTTTGTGTACTGAACAAGTCAAATAAACAGTAAATGGTAGATTTATAGTGACGTTAGAATGGTTTTCTAAATCCCTGTTAGATGGTTGTATCCTCTTTTACATGAAGAAAAAAGATGAGAATTGCCAAATGTAAAATATATACAATACTTGTATGCCGCTGGAGCACTAAGGATGAGGAAAATAAAACAACAGGAGAACGTATATTTTAAAACAGTTTGAGTTGGCTGCACATATTATAAGACCAGCAACATAAAAATATGTGCATGAAAACAAGACAGAAAACTGGATCGAAACCTACGAGATCAACTCCTAAAAATAAAACACTCGTGTTGAGACTATTAACAGCAACCAAAAGCCATTGGAAACATGTTTGTCTTAAGATTTTACGTTAAAGTGTCAATGGAGGAGGAAAGTTTTGATTGTAGAAGGAGGGCACAGTCTCCCTTACCTATTAGTCTTGACCATGGAACAGTTACAAGTAGTTTTTCGGAGAATTTAAAAGTCAGAGAACGTCTGAAATGTAGCCAGGTGCCAACCAATGCATGGCTTTTTAAACAAATAAAAATTAATCATAACATAAGTAATAAAAAAAACTTTAGAAATTTAAATCTGTTGAATTATACTTTTAGCAGGTGGCTGAAGCATGAATGCTGGTACAGGAGTAATGCTTTTCTTTTTTTGTTGGTACACACTGGGAGTCTTGCAGAAGCATTCTGCACAAGCTGCAAATGAGACAGAAAATATTGCAGGTCTTCTGTTCTGATTGTATTATCGGTGTAATGGAGGGTATTTGTTGACTGTATTAAAAATAAGGAGACATTAATCATACTATGTAGTTATTTTAAAATGACTAAAATTATTGTTTGTAACAAAACGAAGTGATTCGTATCCCTATTTTAAGGAACTAGAAGTGTTCCGTGGACTGATTTGGAGTCTTTGACCCTGATCAACACGTGGGGTGAAGACAGGATGCAGCGGCAACTCACAGGGATACACAGAACCGGACACCTTTTCTCCATCATCTCCAGCAAGATGGCCGCCCAGGGCTTCTCCAGAACACCGGAGCAGTGCCAGACCAGGCTGAAACGAGTGAAATCCAACTTCAGGCAATGCTACCAAAACAAGTGTGTATAGTTATGGTAGAGACAATGAAAGGAAAATGTCATTTATTGCTTTATTCATATATCTGCCCTTGTCTTGTTGTTCATTTGTAGCCTGAAAGGACACGAGCAAGTGGAGTGCAAGTTTTACAACGAGCTGGGAAGAATTTTAGTGAAGGACTTTCCTTTGGTCCCACAGCTGAATGAATTACAAGCAGAGGCAGACGACGGTGACTTCCCTGCCTACAGTCATCAGGACATCGGTACACTCACATATCTTCTACCGATTTTAGAGGAATGTACGAATAAAGTTGAGAAAGACTGACCAACTTTAAAGTTCCACTTGAGATGAGATTCTGAGAAGGTGGAACCCTCTTAATTCAAAACACTTTCTAGACAAGTTTTATAGATCACATGTGTAGAGAAACCCCAGATGCAAGAAAAAGCTTCACATTGTAAACATGGACTCTTTTTGTATTTGTACTTTTAGATTTTGTCCTCTGGGAGGTGCTATAGACACGTAAGAGTTCCTGAAACTATTACCTGTAGGTTGTTTCTCCCAAATGCAGTTAGAATATTGAAGACTTTGTATCACTTCATGTTCTTCATCTCTAACTCGTTTTATTTAAGAACCATTTTGTTAATTAATGGTGCAGTTTTCCACAGTGTGGAAAGCAGTATTTAGAACAGACTGACAAAGATGGGTTTGAACATTTAAAAGCCTTTTACCACAAAAGTCAGTACAGATGTTGTTGCGGATCGCAGCTTTTAATATTGACTTGACTGTCATAAAATGTATAACCTTGAATTATTTTCTGTAACTTTAATGTCATGCACAGTAATTGAACTTTACTGCTGCAAAACTTTTAACCTTCTGAGCCCCGAAACCTGCCAGAGAGACTCCAAAGTCTAATTTTACAAACACAAACTGTAGAAACAGGAAGCATCATCAAACTTTCCAACTGTCCTTGAACTACTCATCTTATGTTGGGCCAAAGTGACAAACTTTAACAGATATAATCAGTTTATTCTACATGAATTATTCAAAAAAAAAAAAAAATGCAAAAAAACAATAAATAGTTGACACAAAACAGAAAATATCATTCAATATCATGAAGCTGTTAGTAACTATAAATAAAATATCTATAATATTTAGTCTTCATCTTTTTACCAGTATTGGTAAAACCTGTTGGAAATTGGAAAAGTGTTGTTTCCATAGAGGTGCAGGAGTTTATATTACAGTGAAAAATGAGAACAGGATGTGACAGGAGCTAAAAAAAATTAAATAAAAAAGAGCAGTTTTGGGTTCTCATGGCAGCTACATTAATCATGAAAAGTACAAAACAAAATATAGCACCAACAGCAAAACACCAATACAAGGTGGAAGAATGAGCTCAATGAAATGATCTGAAATGAGTTATTATTTATTCAGGTTTATATGTTATGTTGTTTGTGTCTTCAGAGTCTGCTGTTGGAGTTCAGGAGGACAGGAAGAAGGTTCCTTGGTCAGACAAAGAGACAATCATCCTTCTGGAGGGCTGGGGAGACCCACAGGTAGATAAGAGACATCCTGCCTGATAATGAGTATTAGTAGTGCTCATAACCTGCCTGATAATCAGATCGTGTTGCCATTTCATTGTTTAATTTGTCAGTTTGAATCATAAAGATATGGACAGTCATTTACAAATACGAAAGCAGATTTCCTCGTGGAGCTACTGTCATGACAAACACTCCTGTGTTTACGATGACTTTCACCCACATTTAGGTGCAGCAGTGCCTGAGACGCTACCCACACAACGGTCACATTTTCACAGAATTATCAGAGAAGCTCAGCGCTAACGGCTACTCCCGCAGCGCAGAGCAGTGCCACACCAGGATCAAACGGCTGAAAGCGAGCTACCGCCACTGTCAGGAAAACATGAGGTGAAAGCAGCACGTCCTCTTTTAATTCTGCACCGTGGGAGCTCCTTTGCACTAATACGCCCGTCTTTACCACCTGCAGCGCATCTGGGACGGATAGAGTCGACTTTAAATTCTACGATCTACTCGAACAAATCCTGGAAAAGCAGCCGTCGACATCGTCCGTGGTGGTTACAGACTCCATTGAAATATCAGAAGACTCCAATGGTGAATCAGGGACTGAAAGAGGTAAAGTGTTCCCCTGTATTAGCATTGTGTTACACTCTTTACTAATTGTGGGTATGATGATATAGTTGTAAACTATTTTATTCAAATCTAATCGAATTTAATCAATAAAGTAAAGTAAACGTAAGGAAATAGTCCATTCATAGCGGTGCTCACACTGACGCGCTGTGTCTCTGATGTAAGATGGAGAAATCAGCATGTCACTGGAAAAGCCGGCACCGAGCTCGTGGTCAGACGAGGAGACTCTGGCACTCATCGATATCTGGGGCGAGGAAGACGTTCAGAAGGCGCTGAGGGGTTTCGTCCACAACGGACACGTTTATGCCGACATTTCCGAGAGGATGAGCGACCTGGGCTTCTCGAAAACCTCCGAGCAGTGCCGCTGGAAAGTCAAGTCGCTGAGGATCAACTTTCGTCAGAGCTACGACCGGAAGAAGTGAGATCTGCCTTTCTGTCTGTTTACATGATTATCTTACTCCATAATCCAGCATGCAAACAACTAATGCTGCATCTTTTCACTCATTTTAGATGCGGAAGAAAAGTGGATTATAAATTCTACAACCAGCTGGAGCAGATACTGGGACAGGAAGCAGTTTCTCTCGATGAGTACGACGAGAAAGACGAACAAGCAGAGCAGGATCCAGGTAGGCTGCTCTCACATCTGGAGAAGACGTTGGATGAACATTCAAGCGCAGGTGTGTTATCTTTGACCAATCGGCTGCTGTGTCTGCCCGTAGGTGTAGACGGTGTGAACACGGCGTGGACGGAGCAGGAGACTGTCACGCTCATTGAGATCTGGGCAGCGGACGACGTGCAGCACAGCCTGAAAACCTGCGTCCGCAACGGGCACATATTCATTGACATATCGGAGAAAATGGCCGCCGTGGGCTTCCTGAGGACGGCGGAGCAGTGCCACTCCCGGATCAAAAGGCTAAAGAAGACGTATCGGCGTTACTGCAACAGCAGGAGGTAAATAAAGCAAAGTAGTAATTTGCTAGTCAAGTGATTTGAGCTTGCGGTTTCCCAGTTGATCTTTGATTTTGTTTTCCAGAAAAGGAGGGCGGCCGGCGGTGTTTCGATATTTCCACTTTCTTGCCCCTGTGCTGGGCGATAAATCTCTGTTGCCTGATGTGGGCACTCCTGCAGCTGATCCCCCCTTACAGCCCCTCATGGACAATGATCCCACAATATGTAGGTTAAATAATGACGAAATCTATTCATGCAGATAGTTCAACGATTAATGCACCATAATGACACTGGTGTTCCTCCTTTTAGACGAGCAGCCCTCCACCAGCCACCTCCTGGTGGACCTGAGCAGAAAGATGCCCTGGTCGGACCAGGAGACTCGAACCCTGCTGGAGATCTGGGGCGAAGACGGCGTCCAGCTCACCCTAAAGGGCTGCCTGAAGAACCGACACGTGTTTGAGTACGTCTCGGAGAAGATGAGCGACCGAGGATTCATCAGGACCTCGGAGCAGTGCTACACCCGAGTCAAGCGCCTTAAACACGGCTTCCTCCATGAAAAGTCAGTGATGGCACAGCTGTGATGCTCATTTATCCTGAACATGTTTGTCAGTTATGGTGTTGCTGTTAAAGGTGGAGTCTGGAGGAAGATTTGTGATACATTAAGTAGTCAGCAACTCTGGAATAGTGTTGATTTGATCCATCTGAGTGACTCTGTTTCCCATTTACTGAGAGAAACTGATTATTTTCAGCGTACTCACTAAAGACACAGCAAGCAAACTGGGGGGCGATATTCAATTAGTTTAACAAAAAGGCTTGTTGGATTAGATTCGGTTCAGTTCAAACTGCTTTATTAATCCCACTGAGGGCAGTTCTTTTAAAACAGCGTGTTGTCAGTTACACAAGTTATACACACCCACACCCATGCACATGTATGCTTATAAGTACATATACATCTACATCCCTCATACACATCATAATAAATACAATTCAGTAGATAAATGTGAACGTTGCATTGCTTCCTCTAAAGTATTTGAAAGACAAATAGCAGAAATGAATGATTTGGAGTATCGGTTAGCTTTACATGGAGATAAAGCAAAACGGCGCCTTGATGGCAGCAGAGAGAAGTCAGACATGACCAGAAATACTTGTTGCTTTCTTTGGGATTCATTGGTTGCATTCAGGTGTCTTTGCTTTACTCCAGGGATCTGCGTCTGTGTGGCACAGTTACGTGCACCCTCCAGAATCACATACTCCACCTTTAATAGCACAGCGAGGCAGGTCGTGTTGCTTAAATGTCAAACAAACTCGATATTGTACCAATCAGTGTTTCACAAATAAAGCAAAGTTACCTTTTATTACGGTAAAGATTTATGTCAAGAATTTGAGGCCTTCAGTGTAATTTTTGATCCAATTCAAATGTCATTAGTGTTGCTCTGCTTTTCCTTTGTCGTATTGTTAGTTTGCTGATTCTAAAACAACCCCCGTCTTCACTATTTGCTTTGATAAAGTTCACTTTCTAAATGATTTTTGTCTGATTGGCGGTGAAGTAAAGGTCTCCATGATGTATGAGTTTGAGGTTGCTGTGTTGTTCACAGTCATTTCAATGGAACATGTACAAATTAAAATGTGATGTGACTAGTTTTAACTGAAAGTTTATGATTCTTGAATTTTAGGGAGGATTTTAAATTCTTCAGTGAGATGGAGACGATATTCAGGAAGGAGCTGAAAGGGGACGACTCGGCCGCAGACACATCGGTCGCAGACGAACCGGATGAATGTGTACCTGAACTGAGCCAAAAGAAAGGTGAAACTGAACGGAATTTAAAGTTTACAACAGCTAGAAAGTGTTTTGTTTTAATGTGCAAATTATAGAGAAGCATCGTTGGATGCTGCAGCAATAATTGATCAAACTAGATTCATAATAAATGGATTTAACACACAGGGTTGACACATTTGAAAACCCTCGTTAGCTCACATTTAATAGATTATTATGTGAATGATTACGTACATAATTGATATTTGCCTCTGTATGCATCATTTCTCAACATTAAGAAGGAAACAAGAAGCTTTGCACTGCAGGGAACAAAAAAACACTTTCAGAACACGTGATGAAATATAAAAACAGAATGAGTACATTTTTACAGTTATAATAAAAAAAAATTAAAGTCAAGCACTTTGAAATTATTCAAAATTAATGCTAAAACAATGAGAAATGGGCAGCTGATGTTTAGAAAATAGCTTATGAGCTCCTAATTTTTCAATTTCCAGTTAAAAAAACATAGTAAAAACTTAGTATGTACTTGTTGTTTGACTATTATTACACAGCTTTTTATGCTTTCCAACCATTTCCATGCTTAATGTGTTTGAAGCAGATCTGTAAAGCTGTGAAAATGTCTTTGCAGCTTTTTCTTATTATTTAATCAGGCTACAGTTTGCATGGATCATTTTTGAAGTCTGTCCGTCTCCTGTCAATCACCTCAGGTAACCAGTGGGTGTCTGAGAGCTCCAAGCTGCCCTGGAGCGACGGGGAGACCGAGGCCCTGCTGGACATTTGGGGGAGCGAGGAGATCCAGGAGAACTTGAAGGGCTGCACCAAGAACAAACACATCTTCCTCCAGATCTCTCAGGTCATGGCCAGTCAGGGCTACATGCGAACTCCTGAACAATGTCAGTCCAGGATAAAGAGGCTGAAGACCAATTTCAGACAGTTCCTGGATGGCAGAAAGTAAGTAGTTGACTGTCGGAGGGAGGAGGGGATGCGGTTAGATCATCCACATTTATATCCACACTGCAGAAGCTGTTACATCCTCTGCACGTATTTAACCCTCTGAATCCCAGACACTCTCTGGGTGTTCTCTGCTCACTATGTCACAGTTTTACTCACAGTCGGCTCATTTTTGACTTCAATCTAAAGTCCTTCACCTCAAAGGAAACAACCATGACTAGAAGTAGAGAGAACTCAAGCATGTACATGATAAGATAAGATATGCCTTTATTTATCTCACAGTGGAGAAATTCACATTGTTGATAGCAGCATTAAACAGAGATACACATATACGAGACAGAGAAAAAAAATGTACATATAAATATAAGAAATAGTGCAAACAATTGTACAGCATCATACACTTCTAATCCCATAAATCATAAAAAAAAAAGAAGAAAACATAAGTGGAATTTGGTAGATACTCTGCTATTGACATTTCTCATTTGTTTTAAACTTGTCTCCTACCTGCTCTGGGTAAACACTGCCTGCAGTTCAGCTGAGAAGTCACTGAATTTTTGTTTTTCAACGAGTGCAGTTTGAGCAAACACTTTAATTTTGACCATCTATTAAATAAGATGTTAGATTAAGTGGTATTAAATATCACAATTTAAAGCTCAGATTTGATGAAGTTTCCTGATAGAACAGTGCAGCACAGATGAGCAGTTCAAGGACTGTCGTAAAAGTTAAAAATCTGTTGATTTTTTTTCTGTTCTTTCAGTTTCTTCCTCTGACAACTGGTGTCATTTTGGCAATTTTTTAAAAAAACATCTTGAATGTCAAACCAGCAGCGTTTTTTGTGATTCAGAGGGTTAAACTTCTTGATAGTCAAGCTGAACTTTAAGCATCATTTTATCTGCTTACAAGCTCTGTATTTCTATTTTCAGAGGAGACAAACAGGAGTGCAAGTATTTCGACCAGCTGGTGCAGATATTTGGCACAAAGTACGTCATGAACTCAGATCCTCTGGTTGACGATGCAACCGAAGTCCTCGGTAAGACGGACGTCCGTCGTGTTGGAGATGTTAGCTTGTTGTGTCAGTAGGCAGTGAAGTTGTGGAACCTCAAGATTAAGTTGAATAGAAGCCGTTTGAGCCACGTTTAGCCTCGACGGCATGAGAAACCTGACAGCACAGCTCGATAATACACACCCAAATAAGCTCTAGTGGTATTGGTTTGCTCTTATATGGGCATGATGTGCAACAATAAGATGCTGGAATGGTTCAAACTGGTGCATTTCCATGGCTTCATGCCTGCTGCAGTCAAGTCCAAGGGCTTTAAGTTTTCAGGACTTATTTGGGTCACAGATCTTAAACTGTCCCATTTTCATCAACACAGTCTTTTTCAACCACTTTGAGGGAGTTTCTTCAAATTTGTGACAACATTCATTTGAACTGTTTAGACTTTGGTACTCTTGAGAAGCACGTTTTTGACCATAATGCAAAAATTCATTTGCTAATTCTGACAATATTTCACACAAACATCTACATTCAAAAGTATCCAAAACGTAAAAGATCGGTTTCACCAACTAAAACATCAACACTATATTGAATTCACGTTTCACATTTGGTCGGGTTTGCTGACACTAATCCTGGATTCTCCCTCCTTTTAAATTCTATAAAAGTCTCACCTACAAATATTATAAATCTGAACAGACATGGATGTGATCTGAAGCTTCACTGGTTGACAGACATGTACAAGCACAAGGTGGTAATTCTAGTTTCAGCATTTAAAGACAGATATATTCAATTATGTTGCTATAAATAACTCAGACTTAATTTCTTATTAGCCTGTTTAGATTTATGTTACAACTATGAGGATGCGACTGACTGTTTTGTGTTTGGATGTAGTCAGTTGTGCATTGTGCCTGGAATGTGTTGAATGAATATTACTGGAACTTTCTCAGTAAGGGAGCAAATAAGTGTGTTTACCCAAATATTTTAACTATTCCTTTATAATGTTTCTTCACAGTTTGCTAATTTAACTCAAATGCACACTAAACTCATTTGTATTCACATTTTGGCTGCTTTGGGTGTTGACGTCACTTTTTTAAAATCTCAAATGTTTCTGTCTGATCCAGAGTCATGAAGTCGTCCTCCATCGACACGACGCAGAGGCAGCAGATGGACAAAAGAGGAACATTCACACGGGAAAGACATTCACACTGACATTTACTGTTCTGCTGTTTGGTTGTTTACATGTGACAGAAGAGCGTCTCTGGAGGCTCACTTGAATTCACATTTTCTTCTGTAAATACTTTTACATTCTTCAGATACAAAGACCTACTTCAGGATGAAATGTAGTGTGTTTGAGTGTGTGTGTGTGTGTCTGTGTGTGTATGTGTGTGTGTGTGCCTCAACTTTAGTGTCTTGTGATTATTAATAACAGAGCCATGATGCTGAAGCCAGGATGCTCAGGATTCGAAGGGGACAAAAATGAATCCTTGACCTGGTTGAAGTCACACAAAATGCTGTGCTCCTCCAAAAAACTATGTTTTTTCTAGTATTTATTTATTTTATACTTACAGCGAGGGACTCAAAGCACACAACAGAAGAAATACATACAAGGCCTCTGTCGCTGCCTCGCTTTTTAGCCCTTACTCATGTCTCCCTTGTTACATTTTACGTCTTTGCATTTGTTTATTAAGTTGTGTGGTGAATTTCTTTAAGTTAATTCTCATTCTGTGCTCAGTATGAGTTAATGTTGCCCAGAATTTGTATTTATTTAAATTATTTCCATGCGTATTCCAAAGTTCTACAGTTTACTTTAAATGTGACGGACCTTATCGAAGCATATTTGTGCCACAAACGTGAAAGATTTTTCATAACCATTAAAAAAGAAACTTGAATCGTGTCATTTTGTGACGTGGATTTATGTGGTTTATTGTGTGAAAAGATCTCCAAAAAATCTGAACTGTAGACTTAAACAAAAATGAAAAAAAGAAGATATTTAACCAACGTCAAATTGCATTCAGTGCCTGATAAAAATTCAGGCTTGTTAACCAAATAATTCAGGCTTATTTCAGTTAGCCTGACTTACTTTTAGGTTTTTGGTTCCATAAAGCAAATTCAACATAGTTCAAGCTCAGTTATCAGAAACAACAAATACAATATTTATACAGTAATACATTTATTTACCAATTATTTCTATTAAAAAGATGTGACGTAGCACTTGCTGCCTGCTGTGCATCTAGAAAATGTTCAGATAAACTAACATTTTATCATATTTTGCAGCCAGAACTTTGACAGTGATGCTTAGAACAACAAGCATGTCAGTATCTTTATTCAAGTGAATTAGGGATGAATCGACCACATGCATGAATCATACGTGAATATTAGCCGCACTGCTTTCTAAATCGTGTTTTTACGGGAGCTGATGTCTTATTATTAGCAACCAAAGTTTCCTCCATTCTCCTGTAGTTCACACCGTGGAGTTAATAATATCAAAACACATTTTCACAGAGTTGCTTCTTGCTGTTTAACTCTGTTTTTGTTTGTGTCGATGCTCTTTGTACCGCTGCTGTTTGCCACGATGGATCCATTTGATCTGCGTTCGAGCTGTATCAAGTTAACCCCGACTACATTACCTTTACTCAATCTTTATGGAGGAGGCTGTTCGTCTGTTAGTTTCATTTGATTCAGATGCAGGATTTTAATTCCAAAAATTATTCGGACTTAAAAACAAATCTTTGTAAGTTATTTATAATTTTATAGTACATTTCAAGCACCTTTTGACAAAACAGAAGGTCAGGCTGGATTTTTATCTCAAAATGGGGCCTGTCTTTGTATAGCAGTTAGGAAAATGTTTGTTTCTACACAAGTGTTTTAGACTGTGAGGATTATTATTTTTATGCTGCCTCGGCCACTTTGCGGCCTGGACTTGAAATTTTTCATCGAAGTCTTTGTCCAGTGCACGTCACTGTGTACTTTATGATCCAGTCTCTTGGCCTTCATTAAACCTAAAAAACAGCAGCACTGGCATGTTGTATTTACAAAGTTTACACTTGTGCTTGTAGTCTGCTATCACTTACCAGCAGCTATTATCATCTAAATGACTGCCCAGGATTTTCCTCTGAACTTTCCTGAACAGCCTTCTCCTGTTTTGAACCCCGATCCTGGAATAACTTTGAAAGCAAACTACAGTTTATGATTTTGCTTCAGTGGGAAAGTTCAAAGCTCTAAAGATGTGCAACATAAGAGTGCAATTGCTATTCCTGTGTTTAATTTTGTTTTGTGTATTTTTAGGTTCTTGGTTGATTTAATTTTACTTTTGTTCCATGAAAGTTGTTGTCAGGTTCAATTTTGTAATCTTTTGTAACTTTTTCAAGTTGTACCTTCATAGCCAGGTCCCTGTTATAAAAAGAGACTTTATTCTGGACGGTCGAGGCGGGCTGCAGATTTGGGTGATGATACTACGTTGGTTTATCACCATAAGCATATTTTCATATTGTTTTAGGATTGTCATCAGACAAATAGCAAAATATCGAACATTTTGAAAACAGGATCTGAAATTTGACATAAAGAAAATATATCTTGTGACATGAAAAATCCTTTGGTACACAGGGATGAAGTTCATATTGTTCCTGCATCTCACCCCCACGGTCTCCAGATGATTTACTGCTGTATACATTAACTGCAGCCAGCTGGAGTGTCCTGTTCTGCAGATATTAAATTAGCTGACGTGGAATTAGGGGAAATCAGAGGTGGTTGCTGGACAACGACTTATAAACACACCAGCGTTTCCCATCACAAGGTCGTATGTTAGATATATGGCTGTTTGCGGAGCATTAACCAAATGCCCCCTTTAAGGCAGGAAGCTACAAGCTTTTTATCACATTTATGGTCCAACACAAACAAGTCTGTGCAGTGAGTCTCAGCAGACCTGATGATGTAAAAAAAAAGATCAATAACATCAACTGTAACAGATAAAAGAAAAGTGGAAATGTGGCTTTCAGATAATCAGGTTGTTACTAGGCTAATCAAGTGGAAAAGGCACTAACAGAATTAATAGCAATAAGTCATTTTCTAATCAACAATTCTTTGGATTTTACATTTCACAGTGTTAAATGCAATGTGAGAATATGCACACACTGGTGTACACTGCAGGTGTAAAACTAGCACTGTGGATTTCTGTTCAGTCTGTCTTGTGGCCAGACAATATCTTCAACGTTAAATTCCTTGTGTCCCTCTGACCACCCACACACTCTGGTGGGTTTGTCAGCATCAACCAGCACAGCGTCGCAGGGTAGCAGCGGCGAACCCTCTTCTACCAGCACTGTGTAGAATTCCCTGATCGCATTAGATGAGGACACAAGACACTTATGTGAATTCTGCACCCAGTGTTGGACCGGAGGCGGGTCCAGCTCTTCCTGCAGCCTCCTCAGCAGAGACACGGGAATCATTCTCAACGGGTTGTCATCCAAATCCTCCGTATCCAAGACAACACAGTCCTTCCTGATGTCTTCTTTTGCTTCCATGTTTTCCTCCTCTGTTCGGTTGTTGTTCTTTCTGATGAACACCACTGGAACCATTTTCTCTCTTCCACAGATTGTCCATTGCAGGACATTCAGCATATGGCTTGGATCACAGATTAGCTGACAACACAAGGAAAACATCTTGTTTAGAGTCAAATGCTTCTCTTTGACCACTCGTGTTATATTGGTCAAATTTTAAGGTCATGCTGTAGAACTTACCAAACACGTAGCAGAACACCCAACCACCATGGCCAAGAAACCGATGGCAAAAGGAGCAGTGTGGACGGTTAGCTGGAGAAAGCAGTAAAATAACATTTCTAGAACACCGACCTACTAAATAAGTACAACCAATAAATAAAACACAATGGCCATTCAGCAGACAATTAGACCTGAGAGAGAAAGACGAAGGGTGATCTGCCCTTTAAAGGTCTCTTGAGAGGTCCCATATGGTGAAAATTCATCTTTTAAACTTGTAGGTGTAGAATAAAAGCTGTGAGAATATGAAGACAGTGCCATTCCTCAAGCCCCGCTGCAACAAGATGAGCCTCTTATTTTCACAAGCTAGTCAGAATTGTGTTCAGTACTCGTCATCCAGCTCACCGTCCAGTGCTTTTAGGTGAGTCATTCAGAATGCTCAGCTTCCCCACCGTCCACCAGGTCTATTTACAGCTGTTTCTGCTAACTTGAATATGTCTCAGCCATGCACAAAGCACAACAAATGGTCTGCTGTTGGCTACAAGAGTGAACACAAGAGTCTTCATGCACTCCCTGGTCTCACACACTTAGGCCCAATCCCAAAGCGCCCCTACACTAACCCTCGCGCAGAGGTCAGCCATATTAAGGGCTGTCCCAAACTGATCGCTATGCGAGTGCGAGTTGACAGACAAACCCTTAAATAACGAGTCTGCATCGGTGCAGCCTCACTGCGGTTTTGGAAGTAGGTGCGTCACAGACGTGGAGGAAACGTACAAGTGTGAGAGTTCCGCCTTTCTACATTGTCAAGTATTTCAGATCAAACACTGACACCCTTGTTTTCCTCACTGACTTTACATCTCAATCTAAATCGCAGAATGTGTTAAGTTAAAAGATCACCAGAAAAGGGAGATAACTGATCTGTCCCTGACATTGGTTGACTTGGTCCAGACCTGCAAATTCCTATTTGCATAAATAAACATCGGATTCACCTCATATCATCCTCATGGTTTTGGATATTAATTGATTATAGGGTCTGTGGACAAAACAACACAGCTCATCAGTCTGTGGATGCAAGCAACGCGTCTGACCGTTGCCATGGTGACTTTTCCGGGGAGGTAGCGAGGGCGTCCCTTTGTTTGGCTTTCTTTTTTTCTTTTGGCTTTACACCCTCCCCCTTAATCAGGAGTGCCCTGCACAACTGCAAGTGTAACTCGATTTGGAGTGACACTCGGTAGTGGAAGTGTGTAGGGGGCGGTTTGGGCCTTATTCACCCCTGTGTTACTGTTAATCACACAGAGAGAGTGTTCTTCCTGAAGGGAGTGTGGACAGCAGCAGCTCAGGTGCATTTAAAGTGACAGGCACTAAAACCACCAGTTTATAACTAGGGGTTATACATTCATGGTAAAATGAACCATTTTGCTATATTTTGAGCTGAAAAACTGAAAGACACATCCTGTGAGACTTTAGGTGATTTGCTGAGAAGAATACTGAAACTAATTCAAATTATTCAAATTATCTGCTTAATTGTAACTTCTTACCCAAACTGTCATGATGATCCAAAACGTAGAGCCACGTTTTTCCACGAGAGATATGACTGTAGGCAAACAAGCCTGCACACACACACACACACACACACACACACACACACTCATTGTGTTACCAATGAATTGTTTTCACAAAAAACAGGGAGAAAATACAATAATCTTGGAAATATCCAAAAGTAGTACAAGGTTGTACCAACAAAGATCAATTTAAGATTAGTTATGATAAGAGTTTAACAAAGCTAGATTTAAACTAGTTTAACTAGAAATCCCTCCAGTAAAAATCACATTTTTTACCTTGTTAACATGTCCATATGGTGCTTATATGCGCTAAAAGACATTCCACAAGCCAAATAAGATGTCAACAGCATGCCTGAGTATTTCTTCCTTGAAACTGCTGTGACGGTCTCCAAAACACAGATTCAGACTTTCAAGGTTTCATATGTAATTAATGCAGTAACTTGCAGGGAGGTGGTTTCTGTATTATTGCACATGTTCAGAATTCGTTTCCAGTTCAAACGTTTGGCTGAGATACTCCAATATTACAACTTGCCATTGCATTGCTCAGAATAGTTTTACAGTGTTGGAGCAGAGTAGTAGGTGAGCTGGTGTGCTCGAGCTCTTCATAAAACTCAGTTGAGTTGATTTTGTCCCTTAAAATGTCTTTAAGGAGCTTGATTATTTTGATTATTTTTGCTTTTTCCATCTCGAAAAGGCAGCTGATTTAAACGTGTAAGTTTAAAGTTGATATTGGATCACAGTTTAAATTAAGGTTTAAAGTTTTTGGTGCAACAGAATTTAACAAAAAAACAAATAAGGTTTGAAGAAAGGCTTAAATTTAATCTTTAAGCATTTTACCTTCTCGTGAATATTTCTTCTTGGAACCCAAGAACTCTCAACCTAAAACACAAAGGTGAACATTCGATATCCATTTAAAATACTGTATAACAGACAGTAAGATGAAATATACAGTACATTGTCTCCTATACTGAGGATGTCATTCACCCTAAATGAATTTTGCATAACAACTGGCTGTTTGTGAGAGACCCACCCAGGAGTTGGTATGCTCTTCATTATAAAAGCAGGAGCTTGGAAAGGATATATTCCAGTCTTGGAAGCCTTTAAGTCCACAACACTTAAACTGTAGTGAGCACAAACCAGAGGTGGGTTAGAGGTATTCAAAAATGCTTTCTGTACGTTTAAATTTCCAATAGAAACAAAGCCACAGTAAACAGTAAATTTTACTGGAATCCTCAACATCAAATTTGCTTACCTCAATCTGCCAGCAGTTCACCTTGTTGAGTATGTCATCATCTGATATTTGTACGTTTGTCAGTAGTTCATTGGTTTTTGTAAAAGGCAGCAGTGCCAAGTAGGGCTTCTGAAAATTTTGTATCTCCTAGAGGCAAACAGAAAGAAGAACACCTCCGATTGTTTTCCAGCTGCAGACACATAACTAACAGACTAGTTCTTTTTGACAAAAGAAAAGGCTCAACTCAGGAGCCAATAAGTAATGCTTTCCAACCACATTTTATTGTCTTGCTCAGTAGAGTTTCTCTGTTGTCATCATATGACCAAAGAACATATTTAAAAGATGAACAATTGACTACCGTTTTCAAGCATCGAGTTTGGAATTTGACTGTCACGAGCTTGGGCCTTTGGATCCAGAAATGATAAACTAGAACTCAAGGACTCTCTGCCAGACAGTAGTAACTTACTCACCAGATAGTCATGGCCTAAAGCATATCCTGCTTTATTGTCTGTTTTCCTCTAAATGTGGGACCATCACTCGCAAAATGAGCATCATTCTGTATCGAAGAGACCATAAGCTTTCCGGAAAAATGTTGACTGAGGTAATAAAGCAACTGAGAAGTAAAATAATTTTGTTTTTGACTTTTATGCCTACAAACTTCTTTAACAACAAGGTCTATGACTGGTCACAAGGTAAATTGTTTATGAGTTCCACCTCATAGTTTATCCTTCTTTGCATTAGGACTGAGGAAGCTGAGATCTAGAACATAGGGGTTAGCAGTTAGTTGGTGAGTGTTTTTGGAGCTTGGATCTGAGTTTGCCTAGGACTTGTTGTCAGGTAACTGTCAGTCTTTATTGGAGCAGAGCACTTCCTGTTTCACTCTGAGTTTCAATAGGTGGGCCAGTCCCTCTATTGTTAGCTGGCTGAAAATCTAGAAGGGGCGGGTTCAGCCATTGTATGGAAAAAACACACTTGCCACACTTGTCCGCTCTCTCGCAAAAGCCTCCATTACTGGTTTGTCCTTCAACCTTGGCCTATGGAATTGTCAGTCTGCTGTAAACAAAACAGAATTAATCCAAATACTGGTTAATTCTTCAGATGTTCAGGTCCTAGCCCTGACTGAAACCTGGATCCGTCCAGAAAACACTGCCACACCTGCTGCACTCTCTGCTGCCTCCACCTTCTCCCACACACCCCGCAGTGCTGGACGAGGAGGTGGTTCAGGAGTCCTCACTTCCAAAAAATGGAAGATCACTAAGCTCTCTCTGCCAAGCAACAACTCCTCATTTGAATACCCTGCAATCAGTGTCACTGTACCTGTTAAGCTATATGTTGCTGTCATATACTGTCCTCCAGGGTGTCCGCTGGGAAACTTTGTAGTTGAACTGGACATGCTACTCTCAGCCATTCAGGACTATGACACACCACTTGTTGTCATGGGAGATATGAATATCCACACAGACAAAGGTCTACTAGCATCATTCTCCTCCAGTTTAAAAACTGCTAAGACCAAGTACTATCAGAACAAGATCTGTGGCACAACAGATGCTCGAAAAATATTTTCTGCTTTTAACTCACTCCTCCACCCACCTCCTCCACCACCCTCCACTCTGCTCACTGCAGACGTGTTTGCCTTTTTACGGACAAAGTCTCTGCAATCAGTAACCAGTTCTCTGAGTCTGACAAACTCACTGTTCACCTGCCAGCTCATAGGGTCACTTTTTCCTTGTTCTCCCCTCTGACTGAGGAGGAAGTCTCCAAGCTACTGCTGGACTCTCATCCTACTACCTGTCCACTGGACCCGATACCATCCAGCCTCTTACAAACCATTTCCTCAGCACTTAACCCTGCAATAACACATAGCATCAACTCCTCACCTGCTATGGTGTGTTCCCTACTACATTTAAGCAAGCTCGAGTCACTCCAATACTCCAATAAAACTACACTCGACCCAGCTCAGGTTGAAAACTACAGACCGGTTTCACGACTGCCCTTCCTGGCTAAACTACTGTCAGCTGCCTTTGACATGGTTAACCACCACATCCTCCTCTCCACACTCACTGAGCTGGGCATCTCACGATCTGCCCTCTGTTGGTTTGTGTCCTACCTCTCAGGAAGATACTTCAGAGTATCCTGGAGGGGAGAAGTGTCCGAACCACACAGTCTATCCACAGGGGTTCCTCAAGGGTCAGTGCTTGGTCCCCTTCACTTCTCAATTTAAAAATACTCAGTGCAATAATCCAAGCCCATAGTTTCTCATACCGTTGCTATGCTGATGATACCCAGCTCTTCCTGTCTTATCCTATATATATATCATCATGCCTTGCCCACATCTCGGCATGGATGAAAAAACGCCACCTTCAACTCAACCTCTCTAAGACTGAGCTCCTTGTCATCCCAGCCAGTTCCTCTCTACAACAAGAAATCAACATCCAGCTTGATTCAACTCAACTCAAACCCACAAAATCTGATAGAAACTTGGGTGTCATCACTGATGACCAACTAACCTTCAAGGTTCATGTGGCCTCTATTGCTTGGTTGTGTCGATTCGCTCTGTGCAAAATCAGGAAGATCAGACCTTTCCTGTCTGAACATGCAGCACAACTCCTGGTACAAGCTCTCATAATATCACGCATTGACAACTGCAACTCCTTACTGGCAGGCCTCCCCGCATCCACGGTCAAACCTCTGCAGATGATCCAGAAAGCAGCAGCATGTCTGATTTTCAACGAGCCAAAAGCAGCTCATTGCCCCGCTGTTCAGATCGCTTCACTGGCTTCCAGCTGCTGCCCACATCAAATTTAAAACTCTGACACTTGCATACAAAACCACAATGAGAACAGCTCCCTCCTACCTGAACTCTCTCATTCACATCTACACTCCCTCTTGCTCACTACGCTCAACCAACAAAAACCGCCTGATACAACCACCACAACAGGGCCCGAGGTCAATAGCTGGACTCTTCTCCTCTGTGGTTCAAGTTACTAAACTCTGTTCAATCTGCTGACTCCCTCTCAGTCTTTAAGAAAAGACTACAGACCCAACTCTTCACTAAACACCTTTGCACTTGACTGCCTGAAAACAAACAAAAAACAAACAAACAAAAAAAACTCCTTTTACCTCCCACACAGCCTGCGATTAGCATCAACGCCCTATCACACTTGCATTTGTTCTATGGCACTTATCTAGGTTATTTTCTCCTGACTAGATCCTTGCTTGTGTTATATCTGCTCTCAAATGTACGTCGCTTTGGATAAAAGCGTCTGCTAAATGAAATTGTAGAATTGTAGACTGGGTGTCAATGTTACATCTAGCCAGGAGCAAGTGTTAAGAGAACATCTTGGCCATTTCTATTGAACTGACTTAGACAACACAGCTTGTAACACTAAAGGCAGTGGTGTGTCTCGTGTACCAACTTCATGCCAAGCGGACTTTTAGACAGCCTCCACTCAGCCTGAGCCCTGCAGGAGGGCGGGTCCTGGGGCGGCAACGGTTGATGGCAGCAGGTGTTGGCAACCACCGTGATGACAGCTGGAGTCTGAGTGCCAACACCTGCCCGTTATAAGCGGCAGCAGAATCTACCAGCGTTGCTGAACCCGTTAGTTCCAGCCCTGTCTGAGTCTGAACCTCGTCAGTGGTGCCTTCAGTCCGACCTTCACCTGCCTGTCTGCTGTCCCCAGCTGTATGCCAAAGAGCGTAGACAATTCTACCTCAGTCTTCTCCGTGCTCAGCTGCCTACAGCTCCTCGTCTCCTGCTGCCGTCAGCCTGGACCCCCTTCCCTCTGTTGTCTGCGCCTGAGTTCCTGAACCGTTCGTAACAAGTGGAATGCAGTTGGACTTCTGTTTTTCTTTGGTGCAAAGGTTTCTTCTCCCATCTGAGGCTATGCAAGTGAACAGCGACAGCCACATATGTGCTCACAAGAACATGCAGCACTAAAAGTGGGGGGAGTTAAGACTAAGCTTTAGTTTGATTGGTGCAACTGACATAAAATTTCTTATAAAGGCTGCTTTTTAGAATTTAGTAAAAACTAGTTGGTTCAACCAGCTCCTGAAGGCTACACCCACTTGTGTATATAGTCTCTGCCCATAACAAGACTTCAGCCTCACATTTAGAGGTCAGATACAAGTGGTATCAATGTCCTTATCTGGACAATAAGTACATTTCCCCAAATCGAGATATCTGCTTGGCAACTGTGCAAACTCCATCTACAGAACAAGACCTAAAAATGTGTTTTAAAACTACTCTAGTAAGCAAACATTGTATTTTTCTACTGTTTCCACACTTCTACCAAAATCTAATAATGTAAGTAAATTTGCCCACCCGTCTCTCTTCGTTGTGGAGTTCGACAAAAGTCCAAATCATCATCACAACGATAGCGATCACAGTCACAATCTGTGGAGATAGTGACTGGTTTACGTTTCTTGTTTTTGCTATGTGCATATATATATATCACATGTTACATACAGATACCCACATACCAGTAGTGTGAAGCAGCTATGCTTTCTCCAAATTTCCAACACAAGAACGGTGCAGATCACCAGATTCAATCCAGACCACACATACACCAGCCTGGTCTCGTTTTCCAATCTGACCTCAAACTACAAGAACAAACCTCACAATCAAATGTCATCATCATATACATTGATTTATTGTTTTATTCCATAAACTAGAGAATAATCATACATCACTTTTGTCATTATCATTGAATATGCACATTTAATTACATTTTTGTATGTGTTCATGCTTATTGTAGTCTGATAAATGGAAAACCTTGATTAGCTTTACCTCAGCATCAAGTCCACACTTGAGGCTCTGGTTGCTCCAAAGTTGTCCCAACACTGCCAAGGTGAGTGCCACAGCACACCAGACCTGCAGGGCAACATTCGCTTTACTGTACAGCTGCAAACATCTCACTTCATTGAAGCAACAAGTGTGGGAAAGTAAAACTAAATGTACAGTACATCAGAGTACTGTACTTTAGTGCAATTTTGAGGTACTGAATGTTGGGTACATTCTTAAAAGCTGTTTTTATTCTTTCATAGAATTTCACTGGTACGTCCAGCACTCAGTGAAACTGTCACAGGCATCTTTCTCCTTCATACACAAGACAGAACCCTTTGCAGAGGAATAACAACAGTCTTCACACTGCACCAAATGAGGTATGGCAGGCCCTTCTTCCAAGAACACTTTCATTCCAACAGTGTCGCAAAAGAAATTCCACGTGAACCAACACACCCAGGTTGATGGTAATGCCTCAGCCAGAACTTTCTGAAACTTAAAGTGGTAATTTTAAATTGTCTGTAGGTGTGAATGTGAGTGTGCTTAACTGTCTCTCTGATAGACTGCCAACCTTTGCCCTTAGTCAGCTGGAAGTGGCCCCAGCCCCCCTGCAGGCCTTGTCATATAAAAAAAGTATATAATATATAATATGGGGCAGCTGTGGCTCAGGTGGTAGAGCGGGTTGTCCACTGATGGCAAGGTTGGCAGTTCGATCCCCAGTCAAAGAGAGCGCACAAACGGCTGTACTTCCTCAGGAGGCTGAGGAAATTTGGGATGCCTCCTGAAATCCTCAACAACTTCTACAGAGGTGCAGTCGAGGGTGTGCTCACCAGCACCATCACTGCGTGGCATGGAAACTCCTCCCTGCAGGACAGGAAGGCCCTCCAACGTGTAATAAAAACTGCACAAAACATCTCTGGAGTGGCCTTCCCATCGCTGCAGGACATCTACACCAGTAGGGTCATCAGGAGAGCCCACAACATCATCAAAGACCACACACACCCACAGCACACACTCTTCACACCGCTGCCGTCAGGGAGGCGGTACAGGAGTGTGAAGTCAAGGACTACAAGACTTTCAAACAGTTTCTTTCCTCAGGCCATGAGACTCCTGAACAAGCAGAAACACTGACTGAGCACTGCTGTTCAATGTACAATCCAGTTTACATGTGTCACCAGGCACTGAGCACTTTAAATGTTCATCTGCTGCTACATCACCTCGTTGATGCTGCTACCTGTAAATAGTCCATATGCACCTTAGTTTCCGTCTCTTTTTTATTCCCTTGTATCGATTTATATTATTGTTTTATTTGTCTGTTTTTATACATATATTTATTTATTTATTTTATTATGTATACGAGAGTGCGCAAAAGAGACAATTTCATTACCCAGTGTTAAACTGCTGTTTTTCATGCTGTGTATATGACAATAAATGTCTATCTATCCATCTATATATACATATATAGTATATATAAATATTCATCCGTCCATCCATTATCTATATACCTTAATCCTCACTAGGGTTGTGGGGGGGCTGGAGTCTATCCCAGCTGATTTAGGGTGAAGGCAGGGGACACCCTGGACAGGTCACCAGTCTATCACAGGGCTACACTTAGAGACAGACAACCAAGAACACTCACATTCACACCTATGGACAATTTAGAATCACCAATTAACCTTTTTGGACTGAGAACCCGGAGAGAACCCATGCTGCATGGGGAGAACATGCAAACTCCATAAGTATTCAAAACATCAAAAATAATAACGCTGTAATAATAAACAAACAATGTTAATAAATGAATAATGTTATCTATGTATGTGTCCTTACCGCATATATTAGCACCACTGATGTTGCACACAACAACACTCCATCAGGCTTTCTGAAAAAGCTTTTCTTCTTCTCGCCGCTATTATCCGTCTCCTCACACATGTTTCCGCAGTTCTGTTTCTCCAGCTGCTTGAAGACACTAAAAAACAACCACAGAAGGAGGCAGGACTGGTGACTCGTCTGGAGAAACGAGAAAATGAAGAAATAGCCTCTGTTCAGGCTGCATGATCACTTCCACTTTCCCCGGCATACAGTCCCTCCCACTGAATATGTGAGCACAGACAAAGAAGGGAGAAGATGTGAGGGGGAGGAACTCTACTTTTCTGACATCAGAAGCAGCACAGCTGGAACAGCTGCCAGATGTTTCCAGAGGTCTGTGGCGCCTTCTGTTGCTCTATGATTTGTAATTGACCAACAGTGACGGAAGAAATATTCTGATCCTGTACTTCAGTAAAAGAATTAATACAGCAAAATACTCCAATACAAGAAAAAGTCCTACTTAGGTAAAAGTACACAAGTATGAAAGTATTATTGTACAGAAGTGGTTTGTGCTGTCTTGCTGATATATTATTATGTATGTCAAGATTGGGTTGTTGATAGTGAAGCATCAGTGTGTCAGCAGCTGCTGGTGGAGCTGGTTTGAACCACACTCTAAAGAATAATGTTTGAGCTCAACAGTTTGCAATCTTTCACAGTTATGACAACTTCTAATAAAATTATGTTCAACCAGCTGCATTGGGAATCAGCTTTTCCTTTGCAATCAAAGGTATGTTTAATTGCCAGTTTTAACTATCTTAAATTTTCCAGGCATGTTAAGATAGAGGAGTTGGCTTGAAAGCCTGAACTCAAGTTAAAGAAAAATTAGGTCATCAAGCCAATTTCATGAAGCTACCTCAACTTGATCTTAAATGAACAAGCACAGAAATTTGAGTTCAGGTTACGCACAATATTAAGTTTATGCAATGACCAGCTAACACAACCCATCACACTGAGGTTTACAACTTAAAGGTTTTATCTAAATCAGTAAATTAGTTTTTATCTTGCAACTATGCACTTAATTAATTTATGGGAATGTGTCTCTTGAATTGCTTTTTAGATTTACAGTTTTATATACAATGACAGCAGATAACTGGGAAGTTGAGATGATTAACGGGAGCGGAAATCTGCAAATCTGTTTTAAGCTTTTCTCTATTTTTTCCGAGATATTGGATCATTTACACAATTATTAAAATGTCAGCAGTTTAGAAGGAGCTTCACCATTTGGTGGCGCTATTGTTATCTCACAGACATCTGAAATGTGACTGCACACTGCTTTTTGTAAGGAGCCAACAAGTTTGGAAACCACCGCTTCAATCTTTAAGTGTTGCATTTTAAAAGTTTGTTAGATTATGTATAGTGTAAGATCTTCATCTTAAATAAAGTAAAGCTGTTAGATTAATGCAGTACAGTAGCAAATACAATGTTTCCCTCTGAAATGTAGTTGTGTGGAAGGATAAAGTAGCATAAAATGGAAACACTCGAGTAAACACAAGCATCTCAAAAGTGGATTTTAGTCACTTATTAGTTTTTTAGCGCTAGACACACAAGTGAGAGTCACTGTTTGGAAAGATAAAGATCATTTTGCTCAGATTAAAAATTTTGAGGTAAAACATTCAATGATGAATCGAGCTTTTGAGAAGAAAAAAACAATGTTTATCTAAGTTTTTCGAGTGAGACTTAAAGTACGTCGATTTGCAGAAAACACATCTCAGTTATAAATTTATTTCGCTTATGCACTTATTAAATAATCACCTGATGACATCTGTGTGCCTTCAAGTTTTCTTTAATAATATTTTCAGTGATATTTCACCCACAACCTCCTCATGTTGCCCACTTGGTGGCAGCAGTGGACAATAAAAACAACCTCACAGCCACTAAAACTGACTTTCCAGAGTACTTTTAAGCCATGTTGGTCATTCTTTAAGCCCTGCATTTGAAAATAGACCCATTAATAATGATTTATTTGTTAAATGTCGTGTTTGATTTTCATATTCGATGTGAAGCATTTGTCCGACATGTTTATCTTCTCTGGAAGTTGTCCCTTTGGACTGTGACACAAATGTGTCAGTGTGCATGCAGGGAAACTATGCACCGCTGTCACCACCTTCCATGTAAAACGCTTAGAGTGTATTTAAATATACTTGTTCACACAGACACACACACACAAACACACAGCTCTCAAAAAGTTGGGACAGTAATTACATGTCTAAATCTGACAGAGCGTCCAACCACCGCTGCCTGGAAGCCTGCCAGTGTGTGTGTGTGGAGTTGTGTTACTCATGTTGTGGGGACATAAATCTGTTTACACAATCACATTGTGGGGACACGTCTCCCTTTTTTGGGGACAAAAAGTCACGCTCTGTAAACAAATAATAAAATTTTAGTGTGAAAACTTGATTTGAGGCGAGAGAGAGGCTGGGTTTAGGTTAGACAGAAGGGTTAGGGGTTAGCGGTCATTATAGCAGCGGTTCAATGAATGTAAGTCAATGTAATGTCCTCTGAAGTAATGGAAACGCCACTGTGTTTGTGTGTCACTGGTGAAGACAGAGACAGGCTGGCTGGAATCTGGTGAGGGAAGGGCTATACTGAGGGTGTTGCTGCATTCAAAAACACACAGCAGTGCCACATCACCCACCACACCACTGTGTCCACACACACTCACATCTGGCACACAAATTCCAGATTCACTGACCCTGTGTCATACAGTGGCATCATTCCAGCTGTGGGGGAACTTCTGTTTTTGTTTGGGTCATTAATGTCGGCCCTCCACTTAGGTCCAGACTGAAATATCTCCACAACTATTGAACTGCAGTTTGTTCAAGTTCAGAACGAGTTTACGTAGCTGCGATGCTTTAACTTTTCATCGAGTGTCACCAGCAGGTCAACATTTTAATTTATCTAACACTAGTGAGTAAATACTTGTGAAACTAATACGATTAGTCATGATATGCATAGTCTCTACAGGTGCATGTGAGCCCCTGTTCACGACTGCACCTGTCCAACATTGCAGACTATAAATCAGTGGCATGATAAGGAATAAGAGTAAAAATGTAGGAGTTTAACGGTTCCTGAGATATTGTTATTTAAACATTGTCTCAGATTTTAATGTGTGAAAAAATTATTAGCATATGTTAGCATCAAGGGAGCAGAATTAATTTCAGATGTTTATGTTTAAAAGTGGGGCTGCAAGGTGGAGCAGTGGTTAGCACCGTCATCTCACAGATAGAAGGTCCCCGGTTCGCATCCCGGTTATGACGCCCAGGATCTTTCTGCATGGAGTTTGCATGTTCTCCCTGTGCAGCGTGGGTCCAAAAACATGTTGAGGTTAATTGGTGATTCTAAATTGTCTGTAGGTGTGAATGTGAGTGTGCTTGGTTGTCTGTCTCTAAGTGTAGCCCTGTGATAGACTGGTGACCTGTCCAGGGTGTCCCCTGCCTTCACCCTAAGTCAGCTGGGATAGACTCCAGCCCCCCGCAACCCTAGTGAGGATTAAGTGATGTATAGATGGATACTTAAATGTGGGAGACTGTGTACAGTTTGTTTGTGTTGATGCTCTGGAGAGCATAGCATCCAAGATGTCCACAGAACAACTTTCTCCTTGTTGTAAAGTGTTTCATTCTTCATCTTCTCTTCCAGTTGATTTCAGGGAGGTGAAACTCCCCCTCCAGGACTGTGATGTTTATTAAAGCTGCAGATTCATTAGTTGTGATTTAACAGCATTAATTACTCTCATCCATGGATCCATGACCATTTTCCTCAACATCAACAGGTTCCAATCTTTACAGTACCAGTTTCCCATCATCAGCAGAGCACTTGAGCACAGGAACACCATCAGTAGAGATGCACTGTTTTTTGTTTTGTTTTTAGCCCACCTACCCAACCAAATCAGAGAGGCAAAAACAAGCCTCAATCCACAACTAGAACCCAACCTGATGCACGATGCAGGACAACACAGGCCCGTTTCACTCCCAGGTTACCTCAGACATCTAAACTGAACATTTTGTTATCAAGGTGACGTGGTGTGGGGTGTATCTTCAGCAAACTGCTGACAGATCATAAAATATATCATCACAATACGGGCCTATCGCAGCCTATTAAAGATTATATCATTGGAATACTACAGGCAGCAATTTCTATGATCCTCTTCTGCAAGTGCGTGTTGCTGCTTGTCACTTAAGAATTACGCTACAGTCTGGCTGTGTGATGGATGTGGGTGACTTTAGAGTTGAGTAATGCAGATTATTGACAGCCAGGGGAGGACGTGCGTGGTCTGATAATGAGAGAGGGAAAAAGAGAAGGTGGACTAACAATCACAGCGGGCTTATTGTACACATTATGTCTGTCGGTTACTCGTAATCTAGTCACGAATGGTTTGTTAGGCTGCTGCTTTTGTTATTTTTTTTAACCCGACCCACTTGAACCTGACGTATTTTCTGTTTATCTCAACTGGGGGGTCTCACACATCACAAAACCCAGTTTTCCAAAGCATGCTGTCATTGCCATTCACTGCCAGATTTTCGTATTTTTTACAGATTTTTTTATTTACAGTATACATCTCATGAACCAGACAACAGATTCTCCAACTCTGTGGATTCCTCATGCCATCATTTCCAGAAGATATTTCCTCATTTTGATGATGCTGGCGGGGATCATTGTGCGACGATGTGATTCATAGGTGTTGAATTAGCTCGAGGTGCGGTTTAATGGCTGTGGAGGCCTTATGTCATGTGCTTGGCATTGTTTTCATACTCTTCAGTGACCCCCTCCTACCCTGTGACTGCCACACTGTCATCCTGGGACAGATCACATCACGGAGTGTCCGGAAGCATCAGCATTCAGGTTTTATTCTTTCATTTGCAACCTTTTATACATCCCTGAATTTTGAAGCACATGAGCAGAGGGGGGCACAGTGAGGTTGTGTAACATGCCACTGAGTCATTCCTTTGCCCCGAGGGCAGACATTTTCACCTTGCTTGATTACTGCAACAGGCAGGCTCACGTTCTTGCCCTCTTTTTCTTTCTTCACTTCTTTCTGTGTCAATACGTGTGTGTCCAGAGCAGATATCCTCCTTCTACCAAACATACATATTTCATGACTGCAGGAACGCACGTGAGAAAAATAGAACGTGAAGAGGGAGTTCATCGTTTAGCAGCGAGGAAGAGAGTCAGAGAGATCTAAG